TTAAGTTACAAATTAAGAGGTTTATGTAATTGAAAAACCAAGCAGAGGATTTTTTTTTTTCTCGAAGGAAATAAATCTGATCTGGCTGAATGGCTTGAACCTCAGCACTATTTGCCAACTGGACGTTTTCCAGAACTAGACTGCTCCCAAACTGGGCTGCTCCATCACCTTGATAAAATATATTTACAGGAAGCTATATGATAAAACGCATCTAATACAAAATAATATATCGCTACCGGTATAATCAAATCAATGATTTTAAAATGTTCCCAGTCCTTTTTCAGGCTAGCAGTTTAGCTTCTGAGTGAAGGAATAACAGATATCATGAATAAACCTTGACAAATTATGATAAAGCTGCATGTCCCAGGAACTGAGAAACCGAATGACCTTGATGAAGGGTCAACAAATTGTTTTGCACATCCGGTGTTTCCTAGGTCCTGGTAACCGCACTGAAGAAAGGCTTAATTCAACTGAATATTAGTACCAGATTTTGCTGATCAACCACTATGGGCTTTTTAGTTTATGATACAGAAGGATTAAAAAAAAATTGAGTGACAAAATTCATTCCTTTCCTATTTACAGGAACATGAGTTCTCGGCCCAAACATCTATAACCATAACAAATAAGAATAGAGGTGCTGAACCTTGCCTCATTCGGACAATGGCACATCCATCTATGGATAGATGAGATGAAACAGGATGTGTCTGTCAGCTTGTCATGAAACACGTTTCTGATAAAGGTTTACCTTTTAATTTTTAAAAACTACCTTATCACACATTGTAATGTATCATTTTGATCAACTATGTACTAGTCATAATTGATAATAACTCGAAATCCAGAAATCTGTTTTTAGCACCTAGTGCCCCAAACACACAGAGAATAAAATAACTTTTTAAAATTCTGAGTTATGGCTCTGCACCTGTAACTCAGTGGTTAGGGCTCTGGCCACATACACCAGGGCTGGCGGGTTCGAACCCAGCCCAGGACTGCCAAACAACAATGACAACTACAACAACGACAACAAAATAGCCAGGCCTCTTGGCAGGCACCTATAGTCCCAGCTACATGGGAGGCTGAGACAAAACAATCATTTAAGCCCAAGAGTTTGCGGTTGCTGTGAGCTGTGATGCCATAGCACTCTACTGAGTGTGACATACTGAGATTCTGTTTCAAAAGGAGTAAATAAATAAATAAAATTCTGAGTTATATAAACATTTCTGCAGAAATGTATGAAAAGTTGACCAGTTAAATATTTTTAAGCCTAAAATTACATGACATTAAGATAAAAGTATGTGTGAGAAGTAGAATGGAAATATTAACTTGGAAGAGAAAAAGGAAGGAAGCAGATATTTCAATGCTAAAGAAAAGCCTCTATCTATGGCTTTTAAATGGACGATATTCTATATTACACTATCCTGATTCCATTGTGCATATATATATGTGTGTGTCAATACTCAAGACTTTCTTTTTTAAGGATTTTTTAAAAATGTATTGCTTATTTGAATATGTTCATGGAATAAGGATGTGTGAGGGGAGGGAACAGTTTGAAGATCACTGTACCACTCTACCACTGGGTTATAAATTTAACGTGGGATATGGGACCGTCTGGTAAATACATGGAATGAAGGATCTAGTAGCAATTTGTTTATTAAAAATAATAGTATGACAGTAGCTGACACCTGGAGTAATTGTCTTAAGCGCTTGACATTTGTCCTCCAACACCACCATGAGGGAGGAACTATAAAGGTCCCTACTTCACAGAGAATAGGACTGAGGCACAAAGGGACTAAAGGAGATGACAAAGCTACTTGGTGACAAAGCCAGAAGTGAGACCTGGTGTAGGGTCTACAGTCCTCAGCCACTGTGCTGATTGCCTTTAAAAATCATTTATTTATTCATTTATTTTCAGAGACTGGGGTCTTGCTCTTGCTCTTGCTCAGGCTGGTCTCAAACTCCTGAGCTCAAGCGAGTCCCACTCGTCCACCCAGAGTGCTGGGATTACAGGCATGAGCCACCGTACCAGGCCAGATTACCTTTTTTTAAAATAAAAAAAAAATAGATATTCTGTGAAGAGAAATTGTGATGATTTCTTCCAACATTCTAATGAGCCCTTGTGCCACCAGGGTGTGTGCCTGCCTTGCTTTGCAGACCAGTGCCCTGCTCTGGCTCTCAGGATGTGGTACGTGAGCTGCTTGAGTCAGAATTACCTGGCGTGTCTGTTAAATGCACAAATGGCTGGGGCCTTCCCTCAGCCTTCAGAATCAGTCTCTGGGAGGTGGCCCCGGAGCAGACTTTTGCCAGCATTTAGGGTAGGGCTGGAGAAGAGCTCCCCATCAGGAGCCACACCAGCCCCTACCATAGGCCCTGTGTCCTGTTTTGGATGCCACCCTACCTTAGCCTCTATTCCATCTACTATACCATCCTACCTTAGCCTCTATTCCATCTACTTTGGGGAAAAAAATCTATTAAAAATCAGAAAACAAAGCAATGTCCTTTTCTCTTGGTGCCCTCACCTACAGGATGAGTATTATCCCATTATACACATGAGAAAACAGGATGTGAGGGTTTCATGACTAGCTGGAGCCTCCAGAAAGAAAGCTTCCTGTTGGTACTTTGATTTTAGCCCAGTAAAACCCATGTGGACTTCTAATCCAGAGAAGCTTAGGATAATAAAGTCATTTAAAAGTGTTAAGCCCCTACATTCGTGGTAATTTCTTACAGCTGCAATAAGAAACCAATATAGTTAGCAAGTGATCGACTCTAAATTCAAGGCTGGGTAGTCCGATGCCAGCACCGGATGTTCTCTTCACTACTGGGTGATGTTGGTTTGCCTCTGACCTCTGAGCTTCCACTGGGAGTTATATGTCTGTTTCCAACATCTTCATATGGTGTCTCTAGTCTGTACGCCTTACAGCTCCTACCTCAGGGCCTTTGCACTGGCTGTTTCCTCTGCCTAGAAAGCTCTTCCCCATTGTAGTAAGCTCTTCCCCTTCCCCTTATCCCCTCACCTCTATCCTTTATCTGAGTAGCTTTCTCCCTCATTCCTTCAGGTTTCCCTCAAGTTGCATCATATGTAAAGTCAGAATCACCCTACCACTGCTGCATGCTCCTAATCCTGCTTAATTTCCCCACGGCATTTATCACCTTGTGGAAGATCACATATTTTACATACTTGCTTGCTTAATGTAAAATCTACTAGGCATAGGATTCTTGTCTGCTTGATTACTGCAGTATCCCCAGGCCCTGAAGTAGAGCCTGGAGCATGTACATGCTTGGAAGTTATTTGCTGACTGAATCTTAAGGTAGGTTAAAGAGGTACGAGGCATGCATGGAAGGAGAGGTGGGATTTTGAAATGTGGCAGAGGTCAAATGACAAAACTTGACCTAAGCTGACCTAGGTGAGGGAGGAGGAGCTTCTGCACGCACACCTACTCAAACTCCTGAGCTGCCCTGTATAAATATGGCACATGACTATATACATTCATAAACATATGTATGCATTATTGACAAAGAATGAAATTTGATACTGTGTTTAAATTCCTGCATATGCTAAAGGAAGCTAAGCAAATTACAAAGATATATATATTATTTCCATAGGCGAGAAAGATTAAAGTAATAAGTGTGACTGTTCATAATCTTCTATTCTCCCGCATACCCTCTCTCTAAGGCAGAAATGAACTCCCTGAAGGGGTCAGTTCAGGTGCTCCCTTCCTCAGGAGAATCTAAAACATAGGTAAAAGGTAGATAAAACTAAAGAGAACAGAAAAGTTAAGCTTATCTACATAATGAAAAGACAGCAGAGAAAGGGTTAGAGAGACTGCTTGAGAACTCTCAGCACTTGAAGAGGTTGGAAGTTGCAAGTGGGAAAGAGGGACAGCTGCAGAAATGGCTGTCAGCTGGGGGGAGAGTTCTGAGACAACCGGGAAAGAGACAGACCCAGTCGCTGTGCAGTAAGAAGGGACCGCCTCCTCCACAATTTAAGTCTTTGTAAGTTTTGGTCTTCAGCCTATTTCTGTGAAATTATGTGTTAATAAGTAAAATATTTTTGTTTCACAATTAAAATGCCTAGATCAGGGGTCCTCAAACTTTTTAAACAGGGGGCCAGTTCACTGTCCCTCAGACCGTTGGAGGGCCCGACTGCCGGCCGGGACAAGTCGGCTGCTAAGCAGGACAGGCAGCGGCGGCAAAATCACCCGGCAGGCCGGATAAATGTCCTAGGCGGGCCGCATGTGGCCCGCTGGCCATAGTTTGAGGACGCCTGGGCCTTAGATTAATTTGGAGCACAAAAAAAGAAGGAGAGAGAGAGAAAGAAGGGAAGAAGGAAGGCCAGCTGGCAAAGAAAGAACCACCTCTCCATTTAGCAAGACCACCTGTTATGGAAGTTTCCAGAAACAAAAGGATGCTGGCCATCTTTCTGATGTCCTGGAGAGTGTGATAAAGGATGAAGTTTACCAACTAGGTTCAAGAGGAGGAATTTTAAGATAACATTCGGCATTATCAAGGCTCAGGCCATCAAAAATAGTTTTAGGCAACTCATCAGGCACTACTCATCAGACCAAAGGCACTACTACCAGATAAGCAGATTAATTCCAGAGATCGGGTAAGAACGTGAAAGTTTGTGCAAAAGTATATGTCGATTTTGCAGTTCCGAACGTCATCCCAGTTTTTAGAGCAATGAAGTCAAATTACTCCAACTTACAATTTTTGCATAATTAAATTTTTCATATTTACACAATTGTCCTAGTTCATTGATAATGTCATTGTCTTAAGTTGTTGACAAAAGCCTAATAATGGGTATCAAAAACTTTTTTCAAAAAAGATACCTATAAGGTTCGCAACACGCTTACTCGGATGCCACAGTCCCTTCCCTCTCCCCGCCCGCTCCCCCTCCCGCGAGCCCCGGGAGCGCAACTTCGAGTGCGTGTGATTTGGTTCCCGTCGGCTCCCGTAGCGTCCCTCAGAAACTTCCGCTCCGAGGGCCCTCAGCGATGTGTGCACTTCCGGCAGCGGCAGAGCGAGCGGCAGAGGCAAGATGGTGAGTGACTCAGGGTTTCTCCTGGCTGGTGGTCCCGGTACGACGAGGTCGCAGCGGCCAGAGGAGCTTGGTCCGCCTTCTTCTGCCTCTGGTCCGACCTCCTCGGCCGACGGGGCTCCTGGAGACGGCTGTCGGTCCACCGCGGGCCGGGGCCGACCGTGGGCCTTGCTGGGGACCTTGGGGCCGGGCTCGGCGCGGAGGGTCCCCCGGGCGGGCGTGTGCGGCGGCTTCGCTTCTCCGCTGACCAGGACAAATGCTGTCGAGCTGTGCGGGCGAAGGGCCGTCTGCCTAGAGAAGGGGGTGGGGTTCGTGCCTGCCGAGAAGGGGCGAGCGGGGTCGTGGAAGGCGGTTCGGAGAATGACGCTGTTGGGACAGACGGAGCTCGGAAGGAAACGTGTTATTAGTTGGCATCTGTTCGCTAATTTACGAAGCCGGTATCTATCGAGTACCTGCCTGTGTTCGGCTAGGCACTGAGGATACAGGGTGAGCAGGACTGAGGAAGCCCCTGCCTTAAAAGAACGTCCGTTCTAGAGGAGAAAGCGGACCGTAAACAGACAAAGGAACATACGGTAGATGATGGCAGGGAGCGGGGTTGGGTGGTGGTTGTTACCTGGCTGTTGTATAGAAAGGGATAGGGTAGGGAGGGGTGGCTGTTTTTGCAGAGTGCCAGCAAAGGCCCTTCAAGGGAGGTGAAATTTTAGCAGAGACCTAAATTGAGGGAGTCACCTGTGCAGATGTCTGAGGGAAATGTGCAGGCCGGAGACACAGCGAGGGCAAAGAACCTGAGATGGAGGGGGGGGTGTTCCCCCATATCCTGAAGAGCAAGAAGGCCAGAGCACCCGCAAGTTTTACGAGGACCTCGGTAGAATAGTAGTCTAAGCATGTGCCGAGTACTTTTCCAGCATTTTCTCATTTATTCCTCACAACACTCCCTTGAGGTAATTATTATTGTCTTCATTTTGCTAAGAAACGGAAACACAGTAAATCGCTGTGCAGGAACGCGAACCCTGTCAGTCTTTTATAGAGCAGTAGAGAAACGCTCAGGTTTTGGTATCCAGCAGACCTGGCCGTGATTCCCGGACCCATCTCTGACACGATTTGTGACACTGGGCAAGTCACTTAACGTCCCTGGGTCTTTTTCCTTATCTGTAAATAAGAGGTAATGATAGTACCGGTTTCAGGTGTTTACAAGAGTTAAGTGCGATTACTCCTCAAGAATGTTAAACACTGGCTCAGCACCCGTGGCTCAAGTGGCTAAGGCGCCAGCCACATACACCTAAGGTGGCAGATTCGAATCCAGCCTGGACCTGCCAAACAACAATGACGGCTGCAACCAAAAACAGCCGGGCGTTGTGGGGGGCGCCTGTGGTCCCAGCTACTTGGGAGGCAGAGGCAAGAGACTCGCTTGAGCCCAGGAGTTGGAGGTTGCTGTGAGCTGTGATGCCACAGCACTCTACCCAGGGGGACAGCTTGAGGCTCTGTCTCATAAAAAAAAAAAAAGAATGTTAAACACACTGCTTAGCATACATTAATAGTAAGGGCTCAGTGATGGGCATGCTTGTTTTTTGAGACTAGTGAGGAAGTGTGACACCCATTCAGGAAAATATCCTCTTTGGGAGCCATATGTGAAGGGATCATGAGGAAAGTAGATGAATCTGAAAAGGTTAGTTGTGGTCAGTTTGGCAAGGACCAGGCATTGCAAACTAAGGCAGCTGGACATTATGCTATACATGCTAGGGAGCAGTTGAGGAGAAGAACTCTAGGATCAGCTGTTTGAGAAGCTGGACTGGTGAGGGTAGAAATTGGACCCACGAATCTCAATTGGGAGGCTATAATTCAAAAAAAGAGGTGATGGCCTGGACAAAAACAGAGGTGGAGGAATGGAGATGGTAAGTAGACAAAAAAAGAGAGTGAAGAACTGCACCAAAATGAATTTGAACTGTTTCTGAGCCCAGATTTGGTAACCAGATGGACAGATAAAGTGTGATTCTGACCTTTCTTATTCACCAGTAATATTGGTGTATACTTCTGTACATCAAGTAAATGCTAAGGGGTTTACATTTGTTACCTCATTTTCAGCATCAGGTAGGAGCTAGTATCCCCACTTTCTGGTTAAGAACACCAGACTTCACAGAGGGTGACTTGGTCTATCCAAGATCCCATAGTCTATTAGTGATGGGAGTCAGAATTCAAACCTGGATTCATCTAATTCCACAGCCCATGTTCTCAAGTTTTTGCAGTTTCTCAAAAGTAATGAGTAATGAAATCTACCCTGGAAGATTATATGGAATTAATGAGACAGTGAAGGAAAAATATCAGTATAGAGTTGTGCACACAGTAAGCACCCCACAGACATTAGCTACCCAAGCCATCAGCACTTTTCCTTAGGAGATATAAATAATTGTTAAAGGTCTGTAATTTCAGTGGTCTGTTTCAGTGTAACTAATTCTGCTATCTAGAATCTCTCTGAGCTCTTAATTACCTTCTTTAGAATAAAGCACAAAGCTTTAAGTGTCTTGCATCTGAGTAAATGTACATGACATTAACTGTATTAGGTAACCATGCTATGGTGGGTTTTTTTTTGAGACAGAGTCTGTGTCACCCTGGGTAGAGAGTGCTGTAGCATCACATCTCACAGCAACTCCAATTCTTGGGCTTAAACAATTCTTTTGCCTCAGCCTCCCAAGTAGCTGGGACTATAGGCACCCACCACAATGGCCTGGCTATTTTTTGGTTGTAGTCATCATTGTTCTTTGGCAGTCCCAGTCTGGGTTTGAACCCACCAGCTTTGGTGTATGTGGCTGGTGCCCCAGCCACTGAGCTGCAGGCACCGAGCCTTAATACACTAAATTTTTAACACCTTAAGGTGATAACAGCTTTTCAGATGGAGGATGGCCTGCTCAAGAGCTCCCACACTTTATGGGTGGGTGATAGAGTTGCTATTGGAAGGCAAGCCTTCTGGATCTTGGTGTGATCAAAGTTAAGAGTAAATGATAAAATGTTTGTTGAGTATGTAAAATGACTTGGCTTTCAAAGCCTGGTTTCATGAAATATATACTCTTTGTAGCCCTAGTCTGGTAGTATTAAAGAATGTGAAGCTCCCTGTCTTATCAAGAGAGGGTGATTTTAAAATCTCAGCAGTTTATCAGAATCTCAGAAGTTTATTAGAATCTCAGTTTATTAGAATCTCAGAAGTTTATCAGACTACTCAATACAGTTGTTCTTTAGTTGCATTCTAAAATGCAGTCTGTTTCAAGGTACATTAGTAATATACCCTAACCGCTTTTCAGGAAAAAACCTAAATGCACACATTGACTACAAGATACATCTTGGGTTCAGAAATGTTAAAATGACGGAGAAGTGTTCATGTTTTAGAATCAAGGCAGGTCGAGTGTAGTGGCTCAATGTCTATAATGCTGGCACTTTGGGTGGCTGAGGTGGGAGAATTGCTTGAGGCCAGGAGTTTGAGACCACCCTGAGCAACATAGCAAGACCTTATATGTACAAAAAATGTAGAAATTAGCTGGATGTGCTGGTACACACTTATAGTCCTAGCTACCTGTGAGTCTGAGGCAGCAATATTGCTTGAGCCCAAGTGTTTGAGGTTGCAGTGAGCTATGATGTCACCACTGCACTCTAGCTGGGGCAATATAGTGAATACCTGTCTCAACAAATAAAACTTAAAATAAATATAAATAGAATCACAAGACAAAAAGAAGGATGTTCTTTTGAGTGATCCTATTCTGAATTTACATCTGTATCTGATTTCCCCCATCTCCACCCCCAGGGTCAAAGTCAGAGTGGTGGCCATGGTCCTGGAGGTGGCAAGAAGGATGACAAGGTAAATAAGCCAGATATGTATTGTGATGTGAGCAAATTGTAGACAATGTTACAGGTCTTGGCTGAGAAGTTCTTTGGGGATTGATGAATTTTAAAAAGTAAAATGATCCAGCAATTTTTTAATTAGCCTGTCCTACAGATACAATGTCCTTTTCAAGTTTTAGAAAGATTATCGACCTTGCCATCAAGTAGGTATTTATCAATTAAAGCAATAACATTGCAGAAATGGTAAAATAAATTGCCTGTAAATTGGTGTTTAATATACTGAGGTGTGAAGAATTGTATCAAATTACGTACTTTTTGGCATAGAACTCAGTTCTGACCTCTCTACCTTACTAGAATAATTTGACTCACTTATCATAAATGCATACAATAAAAAGATTGATACAATTACATTTACTTATTAAAATTAGAGGAATATGAAACCTATTTATTTTAAAAATAAATTTTTATTTATTTTTATTAAGTAAATTTATTTCAGGTTAATGTGAAGGTACAAGCAACCAGGTCAGAATATTTGGTTTTGTTTAGAGTTCATCTTATGGTTCTGATCAACAGTTATTTTTAATGTGGCTTCACTGACTTAGAAAAATGAAAAGGACAGTTTTTAAAAGCATCCTAAAAGATAAGGAAAACTGTACCGCCTGAAATAGATGGTGATGGTGCAGAAATAAATTTTGTGTTTTAATGTGATTTCTGTGTGATTTTTTTTTCCCCTCTGCAATTGTAAAAACTTTAAGGATAAGAAAAAGAAATATGAACCTCCTGTACCAACCAGAGTGGGGAAAAAGAAGAAGAAAACAAAGGGACCAGATGCAGCCAGTAAACTACCACTGGGTAATGACATGGTTTCTCTTGCTGTCTTTTAGGGGAAACCACCTTTGTGCATGTACCTGAGTGTCTTAAAGGGGAGACAGGAAATAGGGGAGTGGTTGAAGTTCTACCTCTGTGATTATATCCCCTTCTGCCTATTCCTCTAGGTTGGCATTCAGGTTGCCCTTTGTTTTAAAATACAGTATTATACATGTGTCTCACTTTAAGAAATTCCATTAATTTTATTTAAATAGCTAGCTTCTATATTGTATTAAAAGTGTAGTTTTAGATTACAAAACCCAGACTGAATTTGAGAGTAACTCAGAAACACACTTTATTTCATTAAATGAAATGCTTTTCATTGTATTAAAATTCAGGTCATGCAGTGATTGAACTTAATTTTCCGTGGTTTTCTGCTGAACATAGAATAAAACTCAAACCAAGTGACCTGATCTAGCCCACCTCTCCATTTTCTGCCCTGCCATCCCACCATGCTCATCAGTCACACTGTCACATTGCCTGCCTTGTTTTTGTTGACTCTTCAGCATAACAGGACCTTTGTCTTTTCCTTTTGCATAAAATGTTCTTCCGCCACTGGAATTTTTTTTGCTTTGTCTTCTGGGATAGATTGTAGTGATATCATAGCTCACTGCAACCTCAAACTCCTGGGTTTAAGTGATTTTTCTGTGTCAGCCTCCCAAGTAGCTGGGACTACAGGTGCCCACTACCAGGCCTGGCTAATTTTTTCTATTTTTTGTAGAGATGGGTCTGTTCTTGCTCAAGCTGAGCTTGAACTTCTGGCCTCAAGCAGTCCTCCTACTTTGGCCTCCTGGAGTGCAGGGATTACAGGCCTAAACCACCATGCCTAGCCTTGTCCAGCTTTTCATGGCTACCTGCTTCTCATTATCCCTTCAGGCTTCAGCTCAAATATTTCCCTCATTCCCATCTAAAAGTTTCCTATACTGAAGAAAAAACTAAATAGAAATACATAAACTAATTTTACAAATAATTGTTCTATTAAGAATGGAATCAGATAGCAAAACCAGTCATTAATCTCCTAAGTGAATCAATATGGTATTGGTACAGAAAGAGACAAATTAGGTTACCAGAACAGGCTAGGAAGTCCAAAAATTGAATCAAGTTAATGTTGATATCTAAGATGTTAAAGGTAACAGGTCAGTTCTGTGTAGAATAGGGTGGGTTATTTAATATAAATGGCACTTTTAAATTTTTTGTCTATCGACAATGAAATTAGATCTCTTGTGTCTTGTTAGGTGAATTATAGATATACATATGAAAATAAATGAAAATTCAGGAATATATTTTAATCTTAGAAGAGAAGAAGCTTTTTAAAGTGAAGAACCCTAGAAATCATAAAAGATCGATTAGTCTTTATAAATGATAACATTCCTGTGTGGCATGAGACATTAAAGCCAAAAGAAACAAGTGTGAAAAATTTTTTGCGAAATATGTGAAGAAGAGCATTAATATATCACCTGATATTTCAAAATTCTACAGAGGACGTGTGTACAGCTAGCTTGTGCAACAGTGTGTAGTGCCTGAGCAGCAGTGTAACTTTTTGTTAACTCCCGTGGGGCAAAATAAACCAAACCAAACTGTCTTTTATGCCAGTAGTCAAATATATCAACTATTCAGTCAATGCAAAATCATTTTGGGTTAGCTATTTGGTCACAGACTTTGTATTTTCAAGTACTTGCTTATAATGGCCAAACTCCCCCCCCCCTTTTTTTTGAGACAGAGTCTCACTCTGTTGCCTTGGGTAGAGTGCCACAGCATCTTCATAGCTCACAGCAACCTCAAACTCCTGGGTTTGAGTGATCCTCTTGCCTCAGACTGCCAAGTAGCTAGGACTACAGGTGCCCACAACACCCAGCTAGTTTTTCTATTTTTAGTAGAGATGGATTCTCCCTCTTGCTTAGGCTGGTCTTGATGATAAAGTATGATAAAACTGTATATTTTAATTATAGTGACACCTCACACTCAGTGCCGATTAAAATTGTTGAAGTTAGAGAGAATTAAAGACTATCTTCTCATGGAGGAAGAATTCATTAGAAATCAGGAACAAATGAAACCATTAGAGGAAAAGCAAGAG